ACCGATGCAGTTATTACGATTATTACGAATAATTTGAAAATATTTAACATCAATGAATCTTGTTGACCTGACTGGATTCTGAGAAAAGCCGTATACCAGCCAGACTAGCCACTACTAATTTTATCGAATGGATTTTTGTTTTTCTTTTTTCTTTTTTTTCATATTTATTTATTGTACTTGATTTATTGTTGTCGGTTCGCAAACAAAATTCATGACATGTACATTATATTTAAAAAAAAAAAAATAGATATATATAAATTATATGCATAAAAGGGAATTGAAAAGTATAGATTACTATTGAATAAAATCGGCAGAAAAACATATACAAACACGCGCGCAGGCAAACAATGTACATATACACAACCAAGCGACAAGCGTGCGACCATACACGATAGTGTTTTTAATGGATGACATTAAACGAACAACGCAAAATTGTAATAATTGGCAAATTTTCTATCCGCCTTTCTTTACTTTAAACTAAACTAAAACGAACTATTGCATTCTTTATAAAATAATATTTATTGCATTGAAAATAGTTTTTAGTAAAATAAGAATTCATATACATGCAAGATAAAAGCGTATCACGTGCGAGATATTTCACAAGTATTTTTCTGAATTTAAATTGTGTCACATGCATTTTTACAATATAGAGAAATTTCTCTATTTTATACATTGCATGTGCATACATCTTCTTAATATTAAATAAAAATACAGTAAAATGATCAAATTAGCAAAAAGTTCCAAATTAATGTTTATGCATATTTATAATGCAACATTTTTGCAGAATCGAGTTGATTGATATTAATTAATTAATCGATTAATTACTGAGAATTAGGCATCTCCTTCATAAAGAACATAATAACACCATTGTGTATTCTCGTGGAGGCTAATTTTTTTAAAAGAATTAGTCTTGTATTAAAATGTTCATACAGCACTGTGATTTGTACAATAATTAATTATAAATAAATAAATAAAACATTGATTTGGACGAACAATGAGATAAGTCAACGCAATAATGAAAATGTTCCGAGATAATTTATAATAAATAATTACATTGGTAGAATTTCCACTCTATTTCCACTCTATTGTCCTTTTTCTTCCTACTCTCTACTTTCACATTAAGCTCATCCACAGTTGTCTATTTGATTGCCTATCTTCCTTCATGTGCAAATGTAATAATATATGATCTCTTCCTCACGATAACGAGTAACGGATTTTTAAATTCCCTTACCCGTATAGAAACAGGTGGCTTCACTTCATCATCAACATCATAAACTGCAATCTTTAATGCTCTTTTTCCGTGTAAGTAAACAACATTTTTCTTGTCACTTAATCCACTCTTTATTATTACTATCATCATTTTCGGGCTCAATTATATAAAATGCTTTCTTTTTTTTACACAAATTTTCAACGACATTACTTGAAACAATTTAATGCTAAGCTATCGTTTTTTTTTTTTTTACTATTTATTAAAATATAATTAATAGTCATTATTAATAATCACAGATCATTTTATTTAATATATTATTAAATAATATATTAATATTGTTTACTTTTATTAAAGGCGGGTCATCGATTCCTTCAACAATCTAACCTTTTTACATATATCGGTCGTTCTAATTTGTATTTAACAAAAAGTAGAGTTCGTTGGTAATAATTTGTTGCTCCCAGGCTAAGAAGCCCATTCGCCTGACTTGCTCGCTCGACTAATAGAATCAAGAGCTACAGAGAATTTTCCTCAATTATGATAATACAATGTGTACACTTAATAATTATAAGGCAACGCATCAACTCCAGACTTCCTAACTTTCAAAATGACCGATTTATTCACATTCCACAAAAAATATCTTCCATACAACCGAGCCAATAACTATTATTCGAGATACTCGTAAATACACGATTTAAATTTCTCATTTCGCATTTGTATTTTATATGAATGGAGGATAGCGTTAATTGTGAAAAAATCGAGCGATTGGCAGACACTGCGGTTCAAATGTACATTATACATTAGCAATTTGAATATTTGAGAAAAAATAGAAATAACAACAACAAAAATATTATCAATCACAATTATAATTATTATTTATTTAGAGAATTAATTCACTAAAACATCGAGAATAATACTTTAAGTAAGCATATTTTTATTAAAATTTCATTTACCTTTAATCAATATCATACTCATTAAATACATATTTTAATAAGATTAATTTCTTTTTTTTTAAAAATTATAAAAGTAAAGGTAGAAATATTCCAACAATTTCTATTAAATCTCAATGCAAAAGTTTTTTAATTTTACAATACTGTACATAATCCTAGCATTATAATAGTCTATTATTTTAAATAAAATTTTTATAAAATTGTTTCAGAATTATTTTCATACCTTTATATTTCTTTCTCTAGCGTTATATAAATCACGCACGTACACACGCGCGCACAAAATTCACATGCGTAGTTGTGTATGAATGTACATTGACACTAAAACTTCGATTGTGCAGAGTGATTACTTGAGTAGGAATTATTTATTTAAAGTTTCATCAATAGACTTATTAATACCCTTATTATATATTCATTAAAGTGTAATTTAAGAGGTTCGTATTTGTATCGTTGCCATGATAATGTAATCTATATTTATAAATGCACCATATCTTTTTATAATTAACTAATTGAAAGTTTTATTTTATGAATAACATTAAAAAGTCGTATTCAAAAATACAAATTGAAATAGCCATAAAACATACTTTTACAAAGTAAACGAATTCATTGCGAAGATAAAATGACGTGAAATTATGCAGATAAATTTTTTAAATACAAAAGAATATTTATAAAACTGAAAGATTAAAGGCATTACAAATATAATAATTAATTAATAATTGAAAATATTCACAAAAGTATGTATTAAAAAAATAAGAAAATGAATTATTGCGTATTTAAAAATTAAAAATTTTATTTTATAATTACGTAACGTTCCAACTATTTCATTAATTATTATTAATTTAATATTATAATTATTACTAATTAGTATAAAAAAAAAAAAAAAAAGAAACATCATTATTTATTTAATATATTAAAATAATTAGTAAAAGATATTTGAAGGAAATGAAAACGATAGTTCTACAAAAATCCAATATTTTTATAGAATATAATTTGCATTTAGTAATCAACTAATGAGAATTTGGCTTGCAAAAGTTATTAAATATATATATATATATATATATATATATATATATAATTGTTGAATTTAATAAAAGCTTTATGATTTAATCACATAACATTTGCTATTGAATTACTACATAACTTAATCTGTTTTCATAACAATACAATTATTTTATATAATTTAAAATATTTTTTTAAATAGATATGGCACGTTTTTAAGATTATTATCGTATCTTTCTTAATAATATTTTCTTTTAGCACGAAAAATACACAGCGCGGAACAAATACATGAAAATTTATTATCGTGAATCAGCCATAACACGTTTTTATTTATATTACTATTAAGTAATGTTATTTTCATAATTTATATTTATCTTGTAGGGACAAGAAATTTGAATAGTTTTTTATGAAAATGAAAAGCGTTTCTTCTATTAGTACTTTTGACCTTATTGAACCTTGAAATTATTTGAAAAGAAATATTATAATTATTAAATACATATTAAATAAATTAAAATCTACGTAAAATAGTGTTATGACAAAGTGATTGTATGAATGTTAAAAATAATTTTAATATTAAACATTCTATCACGAAATAATATCTATTACAATATGAAATATATTTCATCGAGTTTGTTGTGCTCGTGAAGATTTTTATTTTAAAACTATATCACTTATAAATATGGAATTATTCTAATTAATTCAAATTCTAATCAAATAATGGCAAATATAAAATATGTTTGCTTGTCAATAAGAAGATTCCTTCACAACTTAAGTTCATAGACGATTTTATTTCTTATTTATTCATTATATGATTAATGCAGACAATAATAGTGACTTTGTAAAATTTATATTATTATTTCTAGTAAAAATGATAAATGTAACATCCATGTGCATAAATCCCTGAATTTTTTTTTTATTTTATATATTTGTAAGGATAAAAATGTTTGACACAATTAAACTACGCAAATGTAAAGAACTCTTATCTACTTATGTATTAAATACACATGCATATGAAAATTTAATAATTTGAAAATAAAATTTTTACATCTTTACACATTCTTTTTCTAACGCAATTAAAATTATAGTAATGAAAAATTTACAACGTACGATAATCTCATGTTCATAGCTTGAATAGAGAATTAATTTTGTATTTGCTTATTTTTAAATAAGTCCGAAATATCTTACAAACGTACATAATGTAAAACATTTTTCATATGTACTTTTTAAACACTTCAAATTTATTCCATTATTACATATTTATTACTACATACGGCTTATAATATTTTATTAGTATTTTATAATAATTTTTATTCAATATACGTAAGTGTATAATATGTATATATTTATTTATTTATATTTATTTATTTAAATAATCTTTAGTTTGGGAATTATTAAGAATTATAAAATTGATAATGTCTTAATAAGATTATAACAAGCCTTTTATTATTTTTTTTTATTTTACTACCTTTTTAGGCTTACTTTTGGTAAGTTAATGTTATAATTATTCATCTATGATTAAAAAAAAAAAAAAAAAAAAAAAAAAAAAAAAAAAAAAAAAAAAAAAAAAAAACAATAACATTATCCAAAGCCAATAGACATTAATTATGTAGGCCACTTATAGGTAATAGTTAGTTAATATCACGTGGTATGTAATATTAATAGATAAGTTCGTTAATTGTGTGGGATGTTTTGTCATCGGCTCTAGAAGAATTGCACTCCGAATCACTGGCAAATACAACATTTTGCATAATTTTCAGGCTGTTGGAGGAAATGAGTGGAGAGCGGCTAGATTGGCCTGGTGAGATCAACCTGTGTAGGAAAGGTCGCGTAGTGATTGGCTGTACATGACGTAATATCATGTGCTAGTGGCTGAGCGACACAATCAGCCAATGAACATGCGACCTTTCCTTGCTTTTCCAGCGCTGTCTCTACTTCTGGGCAGACTCAGTCCTCGATTATCGCTGGTGAAGTTGCACTGGAACTCCATCCCGACGACATACTTGAATCAACGAGAATTTTTCAGCTCCATGTAAAGTATCGCATGTATTTTTAATACATATAATCGACGTATTCTCTCTCTCTCTCTCCCCCCCTTCTCCCCCTCGTCCCCTCGTCATCTCGCCCCCTCTCCACCGTCACCCTTTCGCACTCTCTCACACACTCTCAAAATTAGACTTTCGAATTTTTGTTTCTATCTTTCGTATCCTCCGAGTCTTTCAAGTCAATCGTATTCTTGAATTTTTGACTCTCCTTGGCAACAAGTCTGACTCGTGGCGCGATTTAATTGTTAATATTTTTGCCGGCTATTTGACGTGATTCAGCAAAAAATTGAATGCATTACCGATATTTCAAATATTAGGTGGGATCAAAACGCGAATGGAATATTCTCTAACAATGTTTATCATCTTTTTTCTTATTATTTTTTTTTTTTTTATTCAATTGTTTAATTCCACATATTAGGGTCACTTAATTTTATTTCTATTAAATTTAATTAATGACATAAGCACTTAACATTATACCCGACCTTGAATGATAAAATATTCCATGATTGCTTACGTATAGTTTAATTATACTTATCGAATTACACTTATTTTAAATTGTTAACCAGATCGATAAGAATATAAAGTATCTTAATTTTCGTTTTAAATTAGTACGTCAACTTAATAATAAATTATTAAATTTCCATTATCATTCCCGGATCGTACGTAAATTCTTTACAAGTCATGTTGTTTAAAGTAATGTTTAAAAATTTTATATCGTCATAATACTAATGTAGTCATTATTAATAGGGAATTAATGTGAAAAGTATTCGATAATAAATAAGTAAGTGAATTGAGTATGTTTGTAAAAGAAATGGTCCGGTGATTATTATTTATTATTGAAGTGTATTTTTAAGAGCGTAGCATAGATTGTATTATATATTTTATAGATTTCCATGAATGTGGAATATGATGTATAATTTTGGTTATTTTTAATAAATATATACGGATATATATTCTGAATAATATTATAGTTGAGTTTTTATTAGAAGTTTTATTGCAAGCCCTTCGAATATAACAAAATAAAGTATAATCGTACATATAGGATTGGTGCGTTAATTTAATTGAATTATAAAATTACACGATTAACCAAGTAGGAAGTCTCGCTTCAACTAACAGTGATTTGCAACGAATCTTAGTTATCCTACATATATTAATGCTTGAATTTTTTATCTGTAATTTTAAATTTTAAATCTGTAATTTTCAAAATATTATGTATAATATTGTGTATAACATTAGTGATTCATTTACATTGTTTTTCAATGTCTATATAATATAATATATTGCCACATAATTTTATATTAAGATTAGTATTTTATTATTATTTTATAATTAAAGTTAAACTAAAATGCATCGTTTTTATTTTCAGAATGACGGATGAACGTCTGGATCTTGTTATATTTGGGGCAACTGGATTTACTGGTAAATATACCGTTAAAGAGGCTGCACGATTGGCTAAAGAAAAACATTTTACATGGGGAGTGGCTGGACGTCGCAAGGAAGCCTTAGAATCAGTATTAAAAGAATATGCTCAAGATTGTGGTAATAATAATACTTGGTATAATTTTGTTATAATTTATTCAACAATTTTTAATTTATTATTCCATAGATAATATTAAAGTAATAGTAGCAGACTTAAAAGATGAAGATTCATTGAAACAAATGACTCAACAGGCTAAGGTTATGGTGAATTGTTGTGGTCCGTTTAGGTTTTATGGTGAGCCTATTATCAAAGCCTGTATTGATACTCGAACGCATCATGTAGATGTCAGCGGCGAGACACAAGTTAGTAATTATATACATGCTGATCGTTACCGTTCTCCAAACTTGATGCATATTATTGAAATATCTTTTGCTTATAGTACATGGAAAGGATACAATTGGAATATAATGAACTTGCTCAGGCAGCTGGAATATATATTGTTAGTGCTTGTGGATTTGACAGTATTCCAGCCGATTTGGGCTTAATTTACACTCAAGATAAATTTGGGGGTGAAATAAATAGCGTTGAAATATACTTTAACTGGTGGGTAACAAAAAATTTAGGTGGAGCAGCCATTCATTATGGCACTTGGGAATCAGCGGTGCATGGATTAGCTCATGCCAATGAACTTCATAGACTTCGTACAAAATTATTTCCCACAAAATTGCCAGAACTGAAACCAAAATTAAAAACAAAGTTAAACAAAATTATTTCATGCTTTAATCATAAATATATTTTTACTTACTGCCATAAGTAGAATTCTTATATATTTCTTGTATGTTTGTGTTTTAATATATTGCAGAGGAATTTTGCATCGCAGTGCTATTTCAGAAGGTTGGTCTATGATTTTCCCAAGTTCCGATCGCTCTGTATGTCACAGAACGCAAAGATTTTTATTTGAAAAATATAAGCAAAGACCTGTACAAATACATTGTTACCTTACATTCAAGTAAGTTAAATATATAATTAATAACAATATTATTGCTTTGATAAAACGAAGTATTATAGTTATTCACATTTTATTTGTAAATATTAAATGATTTAGTGAAAATTGTAATTTGTATTTTATAATTTTATAAAGATAAAATTATTAATAAAATTAATATTTTAAATTACATTAATAAACTTTTATATATGCTATAAACTAATTTTGTAAATACTAGGAAGTTAAGCGTGTTGACCCATTTTATTAAGAATAATGATATTTGATTGGAAAGTTACAGTATGGCGGTATATTATATTTGAAAAAAATTTGATCAATTTCAAAAGAAAATAATAAAATCATATTTGTATTAAATTTAAACTAAATTTGATTTATATACGCAAAAGGCATAATATATATTTTTATATTTTTACCGTTTAACTTTAATTTACAATACAATAAAATACAACATTAATATATATTTTCACTTAATTAATTATAATAAAATTATCTACTAATTATATGTTTATTATACAAAATATTCGTTTAAAATTTCGTTTTGAGATATGGATGCTCATAGGAATAATTCAGTAATGATTCAAAACATTAAAATTCTTTATTTTTTTTCGTACTTCGATCATTTATGTACTTAATTGTATTATTCTAACATTTATATTGTAAATCATAAAATTTTTCTCTATCTAGCATAATAGAATGAAATTTAGAATTTTTTATTAATTTATTCGTATTTGTATTATTAAAAGAATGCATTAAATTTTAGAGGCAATAAAGGACGATGTTATTTTTAGTAAATTTTTACTTTACAATATTTATAATGTCAAATTATATTACAAAATGTTGCTAACATTTTTATTCCTTAGAAATTTACTTATGACGTATGATAAATTTTATAAGAAAGGCACTGATGTAACTTTTAATTTCTTTCTCGTATTTTTCAATAACAAATGATGTTATAATAAAAAATTTTCCACTAATATAAGAGTGAAAGATATTTTATTTGAATGTACAGGTCTTTCTTTCAAGTAATAGTAACAATGATATTTGGAGGGTTATTTTCATTGCTTACAAAGTCGGAATGTGGCCGTGATTTATTACTAAAGGTACAATGTATTTATATACGTTTATACTTTTCATTAAATAGATTATTAATATTTCTAATAATTTTTATGAAGTATCCGAAGTTTTTCTCTGGAGGAATCGTCAGTCGTGAAGGTCCAAAGCCGGAAAAGATGAAAAATACCAATTTTTCTCTTACATTTATTACTAAAGGTTGGACTGATAAATTAGCAGAGCCAACTGATCAGCATAAAAATTCATTAAATAAAGAAATGATAACTAAAGTCTCTGGTGTGAATCCAGGGTACGGTGCCACTTGTACAATGCTTTTAATGTCTGCTATTACAATTTTTAAAGAATCTAATAAAATGCCTAACGAGTAAGTATATTTTAGTTGTGTAATAATTTATTTACATCTACATTGAATATTCTTTATTATTACAACTTTTAGCTATCATAATATATTAAAATAATTTTATTTAATATTTTTATTATAAAAGAATAATTGTATTTGCTGTTTGAATTTTATTTTCAAATCATACTTTTCAACTCAACAACGCCAAGTCTCTTGTCTAAATTTTATAATTTTTTAAATTAAGATGATTACATTACAATTATTAGTAATGTAAGTAAATTTGTCTTCAAAATTTATTCATTCGTTTAGTTAATTTTATGTTTGGTTCATTTGAATTTTTGCTAAAACAATCTTATGGTCAAATTTATTGAATTAATTTATTCCAGATAGCATCCTTGCAGATATTATTTAGTAGACTCACTATTAGAAAATGTATTTCCAAGAAACTTTATTAGCGTTTAATACACAAAGTTTATAATATAAATTTTCTGGAAATCGTTAAGTTATTTATGTACGATGGATCCAAAACATTGATGGTTGATTTTTTGTCAACATTTTAAAGATAATTTATTTTCTTTAATCGAATTACAGCCGATATCGATTGTTCAATTGAATACAAGCATTAATATTTTTTAATTCATAATATATTAGATATAACAATGAATGAATACAAAATTTTAATCGTTATTACTTAATAAAATAAGTAAATTATAAATAAATTCAAATCGTAAAAGTAAATTCGAAGTAAAAATACTGTCTAATAAAAAAATATAAAAACATGTATCACTATTTGTATTGAAGTTTTTTTAAAAATTTAAAAACGTTAAATTTTATTGAAAACATTTACTAATTGACCAGTATAATAATATTATTTACTAAAGGAATTATTAATTAATGTAACATGTGTTAATCCACAAAAGTTTCAATATAATTTAATATTAAATATTAAATATTAAATATTAAACTTTTTCCGATGAATATTTTTCATCCATATATTCATTAGATACATTATTTATTTCATTTAATAAATGAATTAATTTAATTATTATTTACTAAATTAAATATATTGAAATCTAAATGTTTTAAAATGTATTAAAATTAAAAAAAAATTTAAAGTATATACAAGAAAAATTTATTTTATAAATTTATCTTAATTTATTAAATATTATATATTTATAATTTATAGTAAAATATCTTTTAGTAAATCAATTTTCAAATACAAATAGAAATAAAATTTTGAAAATCTAATTTAAAAAATAATTTTTTTTCATAATTTCAGTGGTGGCGTTCTTACCCCTGGTGCTGCTTTTGGCAAAACTTCATTGATGAATGAATTGAGCAAAAATGGTATTAAATTTGAAGTTATCTCTTCAATTGAAAAATAAATATTTTTTACTTGGAAATCTATCATAATTTTGGTAGATATTATACTATGGTGCTTTTTGATAATACGATTAGTTATACAGGTTAAGGACAATTAACAATTAATGAGTACAGCTTATCGATTATATCAATCGACGTTGAACTTTAAAAAATTGCAAACATCTTTGTTATTAGAAATGAATTTATAATGAAATTAAATATTTATTATTTTAAGTTTCATCGGTTTAAAAACATACACAGCTTCTAAAATTCTAACTTTTTTTTAATATACAACAGTACAAATAGAAATACATTAATTTTACTTCTAATTGACAATTTCAAAAGTGTAACTATGCTTAAAAAATGTTGAAAATATAAAATTTTATACATTGTATCATATTACTTTGTATACAATTTTTTAAAATCAATTATTTCTACTATTTACGATTGGTTAAATTATCATTCTATAAGTTTTATTTCCATATATATTATCATTTCAAATAAAATTTGATTTCAAAAATTCATAAAATCATATGTGAAAACCGTTATGAATGAAAACTGATGGAAACTGATTTTGTAGTCTTAGAGCCGAGAATAAATTTTATCAAATACGTAATAAAATATTTAAGATTTTTATAATTGATTAATAACATTTTATAAATAATAGTTTCTATTATTAAACTATTATATAATAATTTAATATGTTTACAATATATGAATTAGATTATTAAATTATTTTATTATGTGAATTGAAAAACTTCAGTTGTTATAAAAAAACATTATATATTTATTGTTTTTTTAATTGAAATTCGAAATATTTTTGATTATTTAAATTATCTTTCTAAACAATTTTAATCAATATTGTGACAGTCGTGAATCATGAAAGAACACTTTGGCATTATGTATTGCAATCGCACATATTCATACATATAACTTTATAATATTATATAATGACACTGCATAGCAGTGATGATATGTTGTCAATACTAAATACTACTTAATATTTATATTACTTTAGTTATGTAATTTTATTTTTTCTATCTTGTTTAAATAAAAAGCTATTTATATAATGAATTATTGGTTTATTGAATAAAAATTATATCCTTACCAAGATTTATTTGTTATTGAATTAAACTTAATGCTGTATTTCTTAGAGGGAATATTTTAAAGAATTTAGAATTTACATTATTAATAATATTAGATATTTTTTCATGTTAATTTTATTCATTCTACAAACTTAAATTAAAATGATATTTTTATAAATGATTTATATTTAAACTAGACATAGTAGAGTTTATAAATAGTAAATATATAACTATAATGAATTAAACATATTAAAATCATTTGCCATTCCATGAAAACATATTTATATTATAGTAAATTTATATGTAGTATATAATATTGATATCGTTTGGCATTTATAAAATATATATACGCTTTATAATATATTTTTTCGTAAATCCTATATTTAGAATGCTATTTCTTTCAAAATCATATTTTAAAGTATGGATTTAGAGGTGAATAATACAATATTTTTCATAATATTGTCCTAATTAATAATTTTATATTTCTTAAAGCATTGATTACATTAAATTTCAATATATATCCTTCAATTCATTTTCTACTGGTTTTTAGCGATTTTTATGAATGATATAATATTCAATGAAGTAAGATATTGGTTTTAAATTACAGAATTACATAGCCAATTATTATTATTATTATTATTATTATTATTATTATTATTAATTATTATTATTGCTGTTCTTATTGTTGAAATAAATGAATAAAATTATATAAATCCTATTCTACATGCATTTATTGAAGATGGTATTTATTCTCCTGCTTTGAAAGTATAAATTAATAAATTTAATAGTTTAAATCATTGCAGTGATACGCATACACATTTATAGAGGCTTATAAAGTATATTACAACGTTTATAAAGATATAGTAATAGTTAACTGAGTTAGAAATTACATTTTGTTCAAGGAATAATTTTACTAACAGGTTGAAACGATGTTTTAAAAGGTTTTCAATGATAATGGAAGATTATGTAGTTTATCACTAATATATTGTTTTTTACGAAAATACTCAAATTAATTAATAGATATTAGTAAAAATATAATCATGTTTATGATTAATTATTTTAATTTATTTATTGTTAAATATGTTGATCAGATATTCCTATATAATATTTGTTAGAATACAGCAGAAGTATGTAATTTAAATTGAATAAACTGAAAGATCCCTTATAAGAATGCTGTTCTTGTACTTTGAGCTGAGTACTGTGCGTGACAATTAGAAAGTCATTTAGGTATTAATGACCATGAGCGCTCAATGCATTGGATTTAATGTGTATATAATTAATTATTACATAATTAGATGTTGGTTTATTAAACATAATCATTTATAAATAAAAGTTAAATAAATTATAATAGTAATGAATATAATTGTTTTTGTATAGCTTTTAATAAGAATCCTATGATCATTTAGACGATGAATATAATTTATTGAACTAATTTTTACATGTTATAGAATTAAAATTATGTATACAATAATTTTTTTTTTAAATAGCAATTATTTTATAACAAATTATATATAAACGATATGTGAGTGGGTATATATTTGTAAATAGATTATTATACTTATATTTACTTTATTCTTTTTTACGACATTCTAGCGATGTTAAACAGGTTTTACACGTCAATGTATAATTTTTAATTATTATTATTTTTTATTATACGAATACATGAAAATAGAAGAAGAAAAACGAGTCTAATGTTAGTTGTATGTGAACAGAATCATTCTTTCTATTGTTTAATCTTTTATCTTAAATTTTTTTTTTGGTATTCATATTATATTGTATTGACATAATTCAACATAAAAACAATTATCGTTACTTATTAAGGTTCCAAAATAATATATAATATGCAAAAGAGTAAGTAATTCTTCGATAATTTCTATTAACAAAAATATAGATGCATATTTTATATACCAGTACAATTATTACGTAATTTGCAGAATGCTTTTAACTAAAAGAATAATGTTATCCTTAAAGATATTTTTATAGTATAGATGTTCAGTTTTTGATCAAATGTTATATAAATTTCTAGTTAAATTGGACATTAAGATAGTATTTTGCTAAAGATATACTATGCGATATCCATTATATTTTGTAATAAACATCTAATAGAAACGTGCAATGTATTCACGTATGTAAAAGATCTAGTGAAATTACGATGAAATAAGATATTTCGCAGTTTAGAATATAACTTTATATATTAAAATATAATTTATACGTATAATCATCTTCCTCACTCGTAGAGAATTTCATGCAGAATCTTTATTATTTGTTATATATTTAATTTTATTTATACTGAAAAAATTTATAATTGTAAATGAAAATATAAAAGATATTTTTTACTTAACGATATATTATTTTATATGATATTTATTAGCCTTTCAAAGATTATTATTAATATCAATAAGTTAATAAATACCTATATATATATATATATATATATATACACATAATAATAAAATGAAATAAATAAGATTTATGCTTTTTATCCATCTCAACATTCCGCATACTTTTAATTTATATTGTAAATGAGTAAAAGATAGATCAATATATACTGAAGCATTGAAATTTTGTAAAAAAAAAAAAAAAAAAAAAAAAAAAAAAAAAACAAGTCTCCGACGTAACGCATAGAACATTTTCTCTCACTTACTGATCACTCACATTCAAAGCTATTTTCTTGTTTCTGTAGCCTTGTAATCTTGCCGTAATCTTAGCACGAGGTTACAATTTATTGCAAGTCGGCCAACCTAGTTTATATACTTTATAACTTAATAAGATCGTGATTAGTAATCCTAAAAAGAATGGATACTGTAAGCCGATACGTGTAATTCAATTCTCTAAATCGACACTGTTTTTCTTTGATTTTTTTCTTCTTCGCAAAATGTTATTTACACATATTCAAATAATCAAGTATTGAATATATTTTTTATATCGTGGAATTTAATATATATTTTATTTGTAATTTTGCTATGAAATTTTCAACCATTATTTCAAGCATGAAAAAATATCGGTAAAATTCAATTGGGTCGTTAAAATAATTTTAACTTTATATATTTCGTGCAATTCTCTTTTGCATAATATTCAATTCTGACAAATCACTCTTTAAAATTTAAAACTACATGATCTTAACACTATTCTCCTTTTTATACTTTCAAATCTTCTTTTAATGAACATTTGCAGATATACATTACACATTTATCCTTTATATATCCATTATATATCGAATAATTATGCCATTTTCAATAATGCTCTACACACAATAAATATTGAAAATTGAGACGAATAAAATGTGTACTCGTCTGCGAATAATTATCCTCTTCTATTATAGACATTTACATATTTTTACGAATATATTGTAGACAGTTTTGAGTATCTATTATAAACGTATAGTGCAAGGCCAATATTTTAACAAAATTTCAAGCATTATAAGTAATATCTTCGATATTTATATACGTCATCGTGTACTTTTGTAGTTGAAAGGGTGTTTTCTTTGGTAACAATCAATATAAATATTTTGTCATCGATTAAAATCTATCGTTTTTATAAAATAAATATATAAACAAAATTTATATTAATTGAAAATTATAAATCGGTTGTAGATAAAATTTAATATTTTCGAATATATGTTTTATACAAATTATAAATTATATCTCCAAAATTAAGTTTTTTTATTCAAAATAAAGTATTGAAATTAAGGATCAATTGCAAACTAAAATTTCCTTTTTATGTATAATCTACTACGATCAATTTCAATTTAAAATAATATCATATGTAGAAGAAATGATAAATAATAAAGTATAGAGCTATAATTTATTCAATCTTACAATATTCAAGAATATTTATTCAATATTATTATAGATTGTTACAAATACATTATAAATAATATAATCTCTTAATCACTATAAAATATAAACACAGATGATGCAAAAGCTGAAACAATTAAATCAACGGATTAAATCGTTATTTAGTAATTTTGAAAATTTTATTAAACAAAGGCATTGGACGTAATTTTATTATATCAAGTGCTCATAGAATTTAATACTATTTAAAAAATACGTTTAAATAGATATAATAAATAATAATAAATAATACATACTTTAAATAGATTACAGATAACAGATTAGTTTAAATGGATAATAGATTAATATATACTAATTTAACTTCGGTTTACATCTTAATCATACATTAATCGTATTAAGCCATGTATATTTTACATACCCATAGTATTTTTATATATACAGAAGTGTAAATGGACATATTATTATATATAAAAAAAAAAAAAATGATCTTATTAAATAGGAATTATCTAAAGAACAATTATTAATAAGTATATATTAAGCAATAAAATCAATTGTTTAAATTCATTATATAAATTTTTAACTCAACTCTAAATAAAGATAAATATGCAGTTAATTTTTTTTATTCAAGCAATACAATTTCTTTATAATATCATCATATAATATTTGTATATATATATATATATATATATATATATATATATATAATTTTTATCGAATGTTTATTATAAGTATATGTTTTAGTAATATTTAACTAAGATTAAAAAAAGGATAATATGTATCTATTCGAGAGAATTTTTTACCATTAATCAATCAAATTATTTAAATTCTTTTTGAAGTATAGTAAGAATATTTTTAAAAAATTATTAATAATTATATAATTGTGTAATATATAATTATTGTACATTTTATAATTTTATAGAAAAGTAATACAATATTCATATGTATACTTAAGAAAATATGTAAGAATGCATTAGAACATTATAGTGAATATTATTATGGATAATTAAATACAATAACTGTGACATTAAATTTCATAACTCTAATGTAATAACATAACTCAAAGTTAAATGTAATTACATCTGTTTCGTTTAAGAAAGTAAAATATTTCAAATATATGGGTATATCGTTAAATTAATAATTTTATATAATAAATATTAAATATTTTCTATTCACAATTTAATATAAATATTCAAATGAGTGTGATTATATAATATTTAAAATGAAAAGTCTATATAAGCACAAAGTTGCAAAGTATTTTTGCATGAATAAAAATGATAGATTATGTATAAAACGTCTTACTACAAATGTCACAATATTAAAAAACTATAATACAAATATAGAGTGCTAAACAGTTTTGTTTGTTTGAAATACAGAAGATAAAATTAAATTTGTATTAGAAATAAACCGTTCGTACACACACACACACATTATATACATTATATACATTATCGAGATAGAATAGGTTATTATATAGAGATTTATTTAGTTGTACTTACATTGATATGCACACATACATTTTATAAAAGTAAATTATATTAATTATGATAAAACGTACCGTTATTAAAGAATTGATAATATATACATTAATTTACACATACATCGCAATAATTAGGAAACATATTTTTTATATTCATTGTTTTTAATTGATTATAATTTAAATTATATGACCATATATTAACAGTTGGGGATATATTATACTTTGTCATTTTTATCAATGTTGTGCCTCCGTAAATTGTCAAATATAAAATGGACTCAAGGTAAGATTAAGATAAATTAGAAATATAAATTTTTAGCATTTAAAGAACTGAATTATAATTTTTCTTATAGCAGCTTGGTCTTTTAAAATTAAATATCCAATAAAGTAATGTTAGAATTAATTAATGAATAAAAATTGTTCAAACGATATCTACCACAATATTGTACGATGACATGTTATTTATATTTTTAATCCAGAAATATATATTACTTGCCCAATATCATGGTTATGCAATAGACTGAATAAAAATATGTCGTTTGTCTATCGATGAACAAGAATAATTTCACTTGAAACAGTGAAATGTGTATACTCATAAATATTTGTTATACAAATAATATATAAAGTATTTTAATACAATATCATATATAAATATAATAATAGTATCTTAAATAACAGAGCGTCATTAATAAATTTTGATATGAAAATTATTTTGAATATCATAACTTTACGCATCTAATTAAAAATATATTTTCTAAATAGGTATTGGAATAATTTATGTCATTCATTGTTATCGAAGTAATTGGTGCTATTCAAATACAGTTTATTTAGAAGGTGTCGCGAGCCTACTTTTATGTACAAAATAATAGGCATCGATAAACTATATCTACTATAAAAATAGTGATAATAATTTAAATGTTTATATGTAACGACTCAAATTCAAGTCTATCGAAAGACATGAATGACGATAATAGTTCACAGCAAAATCTCAATATCTCCAATAAGAATATAAACTAAACATTTAATCATTTGTTATATATTGCTCAGAGATTAAACAATTAAACAAATATAAAAATTAAATATATTAATTAATAGTTGAAGTAAATTGGTCTAGGTAATGCAAGGATAAAAAAATTTCTTTAGCTTGATGGACCAAAATATATAATAATAAATAATAATAGATAAACATAACTAAATTTTCCTATATATATATATATATATATATATATATATATATATATATATATAATTAATAATTTTGATTTTCTAATTACAAATTACTTATTTAATAGTCTTATTATTAAATAGAATATAAGAAAAATGAAATTCTATTTTATCCTACTGAATCAATATGTTAACGATGATTTATTATTTTATAATATTAATTTATATTAATTTATATATATAAAATTTTTATTTATTATATAAAATAGCAATTGATACAGGAAAAAATTATTATTAATAATTGACATTGTTTATAATATTGTTATAATATTAAATATTACTAGTTTGTACTTACATTAATTTATAAAACTTTATTATTTAAAACGAAGATAAAATATTAAGTATATATATATATATATATATATATATATTATAATAATTTTCTATTATACTTAAAAAATAAGCTCGGAATATAAATATATTTTGTAGATATTAATATATTTTTATACTAAACAAGACAATTTATAAAATAAATTTAGTTTTCTATGTCGGATGAGTCGAATTGAAAAATATAATAATGTTATTAATGTGAAAATATTTTGCGATAGAAAAAGAAAAGCATTAATTCGATAATATAAAAAAAATATATATGATTTGTATTATTAAATTTGTAAAAATAGTCTCCGTTTAATTAATCATTTTTATTTACAAACCAAACTAATTATAAAACCAAACAAATAATAAAAAGTCTTAGTCTCTTTTTCCGATATAAATTACAAAAAATTTATAAAAACAATTTAGTTTATTAAAATTAACTAGAATGAATATTGTAATATTACTATTTAAATTTTATATTAATTATTTGCAATTCATTGAATACCTATTTCGAATTTATTAATAACAATTTTCGAATTATTTTTGTTGTATACAAACCGTACGTTTATATTTTATCCATTTACTTTCATAATACTTTAAATGTTTTATATAAAAGTAATTTTTAAAAGTAATTTTAAATGTATATATTAAATTACAATAATATGTAAATCTTTTTAATTTATCATCATGAAATAATATTTACAATTGTAAATTGTAAATTGTAAATTTCCAATTAATATTATGAAACTTATTTTTATATTATTATTTAATATTTTATATAATTATAAATATATTTATATATAATATTGTATAGTAATTCTCAAGATAGCATATATATTTTATAATATATGTTATATATTATACTTTATATTTTATCATAGATAATTGAATAAAATACTTTTTACCTTAAATTTATAAATCTAATTGAGATAAATTTTCTAGTTTTCTTCTTAATGTTAAAATCTTGTTTTAGACAAATATATTTACTACTTTATTAGTATAATAATACCATAAATTTATAATAGTTCATTTTCATACATAGAATGCAAGAATATAGACATTAATATTTATAATTATATAATAAATTCAATAAATTATGTATTGTTAATATACTGTTTTTTTTTTTTTTTTTTTTTTTTTTTTTTTTTTTATGGAAATAATAAGTAATGAGTCAAAAATTGATCAAAATATATAAGCATAATAAATAAATTTTTTTATGACACATAATAAAACACATAAAATTTAAAGTATTGTAGCACTATGCGTTAATGCTAGTAGTAACAGAATCGAGAAATATGTCTGTTACTACTTAGAATTGAATGTATAATTTCTGAATATCTGAAATACTATTTTTTAAATTTAAATATTTAAATAAATCTGGTAAAAAAATTTCAATAAATTCTTCAAACGATATTCTTCGTATCAATATATTTTATTATTTTTTATTATTACATTTATAAGGTTTTATTGGGGACTGAAACTTTTGGGAATCGACATTTCTATTATTTATATTTCAATTAACTGTATCGAAATAATCTTAATAATTTACCACTTATTAGCTAAAAATTTTTGTACAGCGTTAATTAAGATTATGATAAATAGGAATAATTTACTCCTTATATCGTTATTGTTCATATCTATCAGGTATTAATTGAATATTGATGTCAGTCTTTAAAGTTGAATTAATTAATTATTACTGTTATCGGATTATCGGATTATCGGAATGGTGAAATTAAAACTTCACGACAAATACTGAAACGTATCGTGAATGTAATATCAGCAATCGCGGAAGACGTCGGTGATAAAAGTTAAGAGAATAAGATGTTTATAACGTAAGGAGCCATCGCGCACAAGTGGCAACGCGGGGGAGGTAAGAAACGACGGTTTAAAGAAAATGTTAGAAGTAGCGACTGGAGGTAGGGGGCGGCGACATTACGCGGATTATCGAGCCTTCTCCGCTTATAAAACTCGAAGCTGCTGCTGGAGAAGGAATTAGCTGCCGAACGGAGTACCGGACGGTGAGGCATCCCTTCCATTCGTGTTCGAAAGTGCAAATAAGTTGTAAGCGGTGGCGTCTCTTTTTCGCGTCAGAAGCGAGCGTCTGATATTCGTCAAGACGGCCGTATCTTGCTGCCCTAGCGAGTGGAAATTAGAAAAGTCGAGAAGCAATTAGCGCTGCCGGTAGAATGAAGACCGAGAAAACCGAGAACGCCAATGGCCAAGCAGAACAGCAACAGCAAGTGCCAGAAAACGGATGTCCGAATGGCACTTGTCTTTCAGGTTATTATTCATCAACCATTTCTTCTAGTATGCTTATTAATTAATTAATAGGATGTTGGTTTATTTTTGCATTATGAAACGGCAATGAAGGAAAGAAAAGTTGAGGGTGCTTTAATTTGATTTAAACATCTAAATTTAAATTTACTCTCACGTGCTTCAGCAATCAATCAATGTTTCATTACATAATAATTTATAAAGACAATGGATTATTTTGATGATCGTAAGCATCTCTGCACCTACAATCTTCCAATCATTCATAAGGAGATAATGCCGATTCATCATTATAAATATTCTAACAGGTTAAGATAATATTTCCCTAGTTTACAATCCTATTTAGATAAAATTAGATAAATAAAGTGAGTTGCCGAAAATTATTGTGATCGATCGATTAAAAATTATTGACTATGACAATGTTTATCATAAACGAAATAATTTTCTAAATAACTTCCATTACGTATACGTATATTTTGTAATGATTATTACGCTACCGCTAATTCTCTATATGACATTTAATAAAATTTTCTTTTATTATTCGTTACGTATAATATATTGAAAAATTACTTCTATTTATTTATTATATACAATATAACAAGTGCATTTGTATAATTTTTCTCAATATACTATGAAAACGTATGTTATAAATAAATGTATATTATGTATTTATTTAACATAATTTTTGTATCTATTTTTATTGGCATTTATAAATATTTATTTAAATAATAATTAATTAAAGAGAAGGAGTAAACATATATTAATGTCGCTCGAATCTCCCTACCTGCCACCTATTTATGCACAATTTCAATTAAACTTTTGTATAAATTGCTTAAAATATGTTATAATAATTTTGAAATTATTGCATATGACAGATTATTTTATTCATACAGTTTTTACTTATTTGAAAAAATTACATCACTATTGTTATGTAAAATAACAAAATAAAGATTTTACCTTTTTGTAATATTGCATAGAATACTTTATCGAAGAATGTGTTAGTGCTGACGTACGCGAATCATAATGCACATTTCATTTATTCAAATTTTTCTTTTTACGTTTTATCTGGATTTAAAGTTAGCAAATTATAAATTAGCTAAGAAAATCAATTAAGACAATACAAGTACAGAAAAAGTTACAAACCTGCACTATTAACGTATCCCGTATAATATCATATACCGGCAATATTTCGTAGAGTTATCACTCTCAGTTCCATAAGTTAAACAATTTATATCAAATGTCATTTTTCAATGTCATATATATTGAAATTTTAACTTAACAGACATACATTAGATACCACGTGTCCTTATTTTATTACTCCACGCATCTGCTCATATATCTCCAAGTACATTAATAGATGTAATGTAAGATCGGGAACAAGAAATATAAGATTGTGTCTAGGGAATTTGATTGGTTAAAGGTAAGAAATGAAAAATAAACAGCTAATATTACGTATTATAGATCTTTTACAGTTTTCGTACATTATATATAAAAATAATACTAATAATAATGATATAACCAGCATATATCTGACCTAATGTCATACGTTAGATTCAATTAATATTGAATTGAAAATTTATAATTTCTTTTGTTTTAACAATGCATGAAATTATTATAATAGCAGAAACTTGTAAAATTTCATACTTATTGCTTATAATATTTAACTCAATAGTACTAATTTATTTTCAGATTCAAAATAAAAGATTTTTGCAACAAGTTACAAAATAAATTATTTTATTGATAAAGAAAATACAAAATTCGTGCTATATAAACCATTACAACATTTTATATTCGTCTTTTGAATGCAATTTATGTCTACTATTTAAATTATTATGGTCTAACAAATATTGATAATTCATAAAATGTTGATATACTTCCCGAAAGCCAAATTTTACACAAACAGTACTTTTGACTTAGAATGTTATAATTCATTTGAAACGTTAGTAGTGTTAATTTTATAATAAATATTTTTCTAATATAAATCGAACAAATTATTTATATTTTTCTTGTAATATTAAAATTGTTAAAATTCTATTTTAAATTTATTTAATTTTCCTTCAAAGCAATAACAACTTATATAAGTAACATTTGATTTTATTAAACATCTTTTATATTTAAATGACAAAATCAATTGTTTCGATGAAATATAATTTTCAATATTTTTAATGATACCCTATAATTATATTATGGTTTAAACATTTATTTAAACGTACGTGAATAGCATTTTCTTCATTTTTTTTTGTTTTTTTTTTTTTCAATAAATATATAATAATATAATGATAAAAATATAATACATTTATCTATATAATTTATTCAAAGGCAATCGCACTATTCATTTACTTAATTATTTTGTATATAGAGAATAAACCATTAAATCAAATGTAATTATTAATCTAATTATTTAAATTATACTCGTTATGTATTATTATACAACGTACAATGTAATTACAATAATTAAACAATTATAAAAAGAACTTAATTAGAAATGTTATTGAGATTCTTAAATATGCTTTGTCTAAATTATTGTATATACTTTAAGAATTTATAATTATTTAGATAGAAAATTAATTTACTCCTAATATATTTTTAATAACGATGTCATTGTTTAGTTTATTAAATATACTGTTTATTAAATTCTCAATTTGCATCAAATAGAAATTAATTTTATAATTCCTTTCCAATTAAGTTAATGTAATATCCCATTATTATAAAAATGTGAATATTTAACAATACAGTAATTTATGCATATATAACTATAAAGAGATAAATTGCCTTATAAATTAAAATGGAGAGCATTGATGTAATAATTCATATTAAATTATTCATATTATGCCTGCGAAGAGATGTAGTACCATCATCCACTTTGCACTACTATAGCATTTTATTAATTACACTTCACTGTTTGTTTGAACTATGTATTGAGATGTTTACGAAGGTGCAAACGTATTGATTTAATATTAAAATGTAACAATCGGAGAATGTGCAATGAATTACATGACAGATTCATGATCAATTACTAGTTTCTTTTATTTCTCTCTTTACATTAAATAATCTTTTATATTAACATTAACAATAATGAGTTACTTTTGTTTTACAATTATTGGCTTTTCGCTATTGAGGTGTACTAGTCAGATGCAGCAAAATTTTTATTTTATTTTATTTCTTAGAACATTTTTGTATAGTACGTTTACAAATTTGGTTTTTTAAACTTTAAATTTTTTAAACCTTCTCAATAGTTAATAGAAAGATTTGCTAAATTTGAAAAAATATTCTGTTCCTGCATTTTAACTCGTGCATTTACTCGTATTAATTATATTATAATTACTTTATAATAATTCTTTTTTTTTTTTTTTTTTTTTTTAAATTTTAATAAAAAATAGGATACTCCAATTAATACGATGAATTTATTGATTAGAATAATTATATTAAATAATATTAATAATATTCTTTAGTTAAGTGGTTAGATAAAAACTGATTAACTGATAGTTTCACTTTAAAATGACCTTTTTTTGTCAAATTAATGGAAAGTCAAAGAAGGACTAATTGATTACGCGTCCAAGAAATAATAACAAATACTAATTGTGTAATCTCAAAAGGTTTTACATAATTACGAAAATAAATCAGTTACATTTTTTTATTTTAATTTAAACACAACATATTATATGTTTTTAAAATTTGTATTACCACAAAATATATTATTTCATGAAATTTTGATATTTTTATTTTTTCTCAACTTTTCTTTTTTATTAAAAATTTTTATCGAATCTTTTTATTATTCAACTCCAAATCATGAATCATCGGAATATTATATAAGAAATCGCATATTCGTATAGAAAGTAAGTAGTATTATATTTTATTGAAATTCACTTCATGTATTTTAAAAATAAATTAATTATGAATATAAATAATGTCGTATGTCATTTTGTATATAAGTAATTTTTATAAAATTATACGTGAGAATGGCACAAATAACTTTACATATGATTTTAAGGATTAGATTAATTGTATCCATATTTTTTTTTAAATTACATATTTACTTACCTACGGATACATTTATATTCTGTTGTAATTGATTTTGTATATTTAACATATTAAATAGGATTTGTTATGTGTAATTTGAGTTAAGAAAATCTATCATCCAACGAAAATGGTATGGTTTTCTATAATTTATATTTAACTTGTATTACCTAGAAATATTGCAATTAATATACGTTAGCCTCAACTCAATAACTCAAATATTATTAAAATTTTAAATATTTCATCTAGAATCATATTTTATTATACGATTAATTACTTTATCAATAAATTTATATATATATATATATATATATATATATATATATGTATGGATGTTTTGTGTATGTGTGTAGGTAAGTTAACAAATTATAAAATATCTTTGCTATTTCATCTCCGTAATCTATTTAATTTTCTTAAGTTAAAGTTCACGTTCGGTAATCAACAAATTTTAGAGCACTTAACTAAGGAGTTTATTTATTTGAAAAAAAAAAATGATATTAATATATTAAATTATCACATCACGATTATACCGACACAATATTTCAATTTTAATATAAAACTAAGCAACTAGAATAACTATTTTTATAGAACATGATATTCTAATTTTTGATTTTCTAAAAAATAAAACAATATTACTTCAATATTATAGATGAAACCTTGTTAACTTATTATTACAATAAACTTTTTTCTTGCTACAATGAAGAAAAAAAACTTTCCACGTACTTTAATATGCACGTCTACTCAATCGCTGATATCTACAATTGAATCGCGGTTTCTCCTGGCACTTTACGTAATCATTCTGTTTATATTCTTGATTGTACTGATTTTCTTAATATACTTGAATTATTTGGTTTGGATAGAAAATTGAGTTACAAAAAATTGCATGTAGTTGTTAGTTTTCATACTCATTGAATAATTAGTATTTGAGTATAATGAAGGAAAATATAACCAAGCAACATATGCTCACTTGAACAGTATATTTTAAGAAAATT